TTTGGAGCATCCACTCTTCGTGATAATATCACACCCTTTCTCCTCAATTTGGCCTTGAGAGATGAGGTTATCATGCAGTTCTGGTACAAACAGTACATCGGTTAAAGTTAGGTCTTTATCACCACACTCACCTGACAATGAGATCTTGATAGAGCCAATACCCTCTATTCTTAGAGGAGAGCTGTCCCCGGTTTCAACTTCTCCAGAATGAGGCTGGAAGTTGGTGAAGATTTCTCTTCGGTAAGACATGTGGTCGGAGGCCCCTCCATCGAGGATCCATAGGTCATCCTTTTGGGCTGAACTTCTCTTGGTGTACAAAAGCACATGCTCCCTTGTTGCAATGGAGGCTGCCGCTGACTTAGTTTTCTCCTTGGCTTGCTCCTTCTCTTCTGCTTCAGCAATTTTTGGGCAGTTTCTGGCTATGTGATTTTCGTCCCCGCATGAATAACAGAAATTCCTGTAGCCAGATCCTCCTCGGCCCCTACCTCTCCTGCGTCCAGACCCTTTGCCTCTCGGTGGCCCTTGCGTGGGGTCTTTGGCAGCGCGACACGCCTTGTGATGGCTAGATTTTCCCTCCATTTCTTTCTCTTCCTCAAGAAGAACTTGTTTCACGATGGAAATTTTTAATTTCTCAGATTGAGTTAGGAGAGTTTTGACAGTTATCTCATATTCAGGTGGCAAGCCTGATAGGCAGAGGTGCGCTAGCTGCTTCTCCGTTATAGCTAGATTGTTCTTTTGAAGAACTCGGTTCAGCTCAACCATTTCATTGATGTACTCCAGCATTGGTTTATCACCTTTAGTCATCAATGCTAGTTCTCTTAATTTGAGCATTGCTCCAAATTCAGTGTTCTGATGACATGCATTCTCCAGGATTAGCCATGCCTCTGTCGCATCATTCACATCCACAATATCAGAAATGAGTTCATCTGTTACTGACCTCATTATAAGGGACATTGCCACGAGATTACTTTTTCTCCTTTTCTTTTTCTCGACGTCTGTGGGTGCATTCGTAGCATCTTCATCTCCATAACCTATGACCGCTTCCCAGCAATCCCGGAGCAGCATATCCGCCTTGATGCGGGCCTTCCACGCGGCATAGTTCTTTCGGGTGAGTGTGGGAACTGAGAAGGTTTTGTCTTCCAATAACTCCATGCTTCACAAACTTTCTACTCCCCCTCAACTTCACCGAAACGAGAAACGAATCGCACTAAGTACCGACTACCGACTCACCGCACATACGCGCTCCCGACACTAATACTTTCCAACGATTTCCGTTTAGTTCATTCTCGCGCACAGCGAACTTCGCGGCTTAAGTCTCATAATCTGTCGGTTTGGCTGAATGAAAAGCAGCAAACGAAAAAGGTGGAAAACTGAGAAGACCGAGGCTTCGAGGGAATGAACAACGTGTATTCGCCTTATAGACAAAAGACAATGGGCTAAGACCTATGCACAAGTGCAGAAGGGCTAGAATACATGTTTGCCGCTAGGGGCAGCACCTGACGGAGCACAATCATGTCGAGGCCCGCTTTACACCTACATCGACAGCAAATGCTTTCCCCCGGCGCACTGTTCGACGCGGCATGAAAGTCAGCGCCGGGCCTCCGCCTTGCGCGCTGATGCGGCTCCGTTTATGATGCTACCTCAAACCTCAGCTCTAAATCCCTGATTTGTCTTACATGGATGATCTGAAACTGTCCGCTAGTCGAAAAGAAGACCTGCACATGGTGCTTGATACGGTAGGATCTTTTAACAGGGACATCCTTATAAAATCTGGGTTGGACAAGTGCAAAAAAAGCAGCATTATCAAGGGAGTGTGGACAGCTAGCTCATGGAGGATATGAGCCTGCAGCGCAGAGAGGTAAAATTGAAGGCATGCTTGAAAATGACCAGTGGAAGTACCTGGAATACATGCATTCTCGAGGAATGCAACATGAAGACTCGAAACTTCAGGTCTCTGATGATTACAAGCGAAGACTCAGAGCTATATTAAAGTCCGAACTTTCTGCACGGAACACAGCGCTAGCAGTAAAACCTATGCTACCTCACCGTTGACCTACACGTTTGGTTTACTCATCTGGCCCAAAACGGAGCTCAACGCCTTGGATATTGCAACGAGGAGAGAATTTAGAAAGTATCGAGCGCATCGCCCAAGGAACTGCGTTGAAAGATTCCACCTAACGCGAGCTGAAGGGGGCAGGGGAATTCCAAGCGCGCAACGGAGATATCATCAGCAGGTTGAATACCTCAGGAAGTATTTTCTTGATAAGACTAAGCACAGCAAGCTGCATCAGATCATCGTGCGGGCAGACGACAATATCACACCTCTAAATTTGAAGGACCATACGTTTAGCACAATGGGAACACTCCCAACCACAGAGCAAATAGGTGATCAGTGGAAGGCCAAGCCGCTTCATGGGCAATATCTTAAAAGGATTCATGATGATGCTGAGATTGACATCAAAGCTTCGCACGTGTAAATATTAAGTGAACAAAGGATATATATGTCGTCAATCTTACTGTGAAGAAAGATCATATTGCGGAAGAAGCAAACAAGTTTGAGGTCGAACTCGGAGAAAACTTTGAATCCGTCCCTAAGAACAGCAGGAAGCAAAAAATCAAAAGGAAAATCTCAGAATGCATCAAATGCAAATGCAAATGAATTATTATGCTTGGACAGTATCCAGCTAGAAAAGACTGTATATTTAAAGTATAATCTCTGAACCTCGTAACTCACAATCAGTAAAGGTGTACTAAAAGCCCCTCAAAAATTACTTCGGAAAACATTTCCATGAAAAAGTCTCAAAAAGTAAGAGAGAACTAGGAATCCAAATTTGGCATTCTCAAAGCCCCTCCTCCCCAAACGTTGGCTGATGATCCAGGGGAGTCCTATATCTAGAAAATTTACAGAATTGGGGCCTCCTTGCACTCCAACAGCAAATATTTTGGAGGGGGGGGGGGTTCTGAGAATGTCAAATTCGGATTCCTAGTGGTTGATTACCTAGGCGGACGTCCTTTTCCTGGGCCTCCATGTCGCTTTATTGACACGGAATTTGGTCGAGGGAGCCTTATACCCCACTGTAAAAGTCAATATTTCAAACAGAAATGGGTCAATTGTGGATTTCTTGGTATCGATTTGGGGTGCCTAAATTGTTTCGTGTTCTCTGAATCCGATAGTTTTAAAGTCAAGCCTCCCTCCTTCCACATTCCGAAAAAGCTGGAGGGGGGGGGAGGGTGGTTAGGCTTCGAGGCTATAAAATTTGGATTGCTCGGTGTCAATTCTTTATTCATCCCCACAGTGACCACCTTCAACCGACCTAAAATAACCGAGAAACAAGACTGTCACAAGACTGACAACAAGACTGAAAAGTCGTATTTTGTTCGACGAAACAACTCGGAATATCTCGTAACAATCGTATTTTGTTCGAATGTTATTTATGTTAAGGGGCGCGGCCTATTTTTAATCGTTTCATTATTTTGCACAATTTGGCAACGTTTTGCGACATTGTTTCGAAACAATCGGAACGTCCTCAGAGCTTTGCTACGACTTTTGTGTAAATTTGTTGACAAGATTTCTAACCTCACTTCTAGCTGCTTTGCTCTCATTGGTTGTGAAAAAGTGACGCAAACAACACAAAATCGGTAACAGGAAACAATTGTTGCGGCGAACAAAATACGACTAAACAAGACTGGGTGGTCTGGGACAACCGTGCATGTATTTGTCTCGATACACGATCAAATGCCGAAACAATTCCTATCAAAGTAGACCAGCTGATGACTGATGGTCACCTTGCAATAGTCTTCTTTGATCATTATTGGACGGGCCGTCAAATTTTGATCAGAATGGAGTGCCACCATTCATCATTTCTGCCAAAGTTTCATTTAATAAGTAGGCGAAGTGGCAGGTAACGATTTTCAGACTAATGAATCTCGACACTTTCATGGTTTATGGCTCGGGGCCTTGACCGTGTATCGAGCCCTTATCAAAGAAACCCGCTTTAACAATCCATACCTACAGTGTATCGAGTGAGGGGGAAAGGGTAAAGTTGATCATCGCTATTTTCCATCTAATGATGATTGTTGATCAAAATATGAAATAAAATTCACCTAGTGATGAAATGGTAAATGTTAGGGTGAGCACTTTGCTGGGCGAGTTTTTACATACGACGATAGGCTGATTGCTAAACTAGTTGCTGGACTCATCAGTCCATCAGTCATCATCAGGCAAATCTAAGTGCTGACCTCTAAGCGTAACTTTTACACACGGCATGGAAGATATCAGTGCGGGCTCTCTCCAATATATTGTCTCTGATACCCATCTAGGTGCTGAGTTTGGTCGGTCCTTCCACCGTAGGTACTTAAATATACTTGGGACGAGTCTCGACTTCGCTTAAGTTCGGCTTAGCGCTTCTTAAGGGGGGAGGGGACACATTCAAAGTGAAGCTTCAAAGAGGTGACTGTTTAGCCCAGTGTTGCCATCGATTACCGAGAGAGCAGGCCGCTCTCCTTTGACGCATCGATGCGCAACACCTGAATGAACAGACACCGCTTTGAAGTTTCACTTTCGAAAATGTGTGCAGGGCTATAGATCGGCCGGTGGTGCGGTTTGGACTCATCGATGGATGTTGCATCTCCGTGTAAAAGATCCGACAAAATTCGGCTCCAGTCTCTAAAACTGGGGAGAGTCTGAAGTGCGAGCATGTGATTAAATTAGAATGGGGATCTCTACCGACTCGAAGCTTTGAATGAGTAGAGTTGAAACCAACAGGGCAAAGTTTTCTCGGGAGGCGCCCCCGAGCAGCACTGTCACTTAGTGTTTGAATAAAATGGATCAGCGTAAATTCACGTAACTAGGTACAGTTTAGATGTTTTACAACAACGGACGAAACTTTTATAGTGAATGCACGCTCCTGTCAGTGGGCGGGAAGTTAAGGGCAAATGGAGCTAATGTTTGCCTTGGACTTTTCCTGTGTAGAGCAAGTGGGAGAAAAAAGTGGACTTACTTAAGGGATACGCTGGTTTGTAGGAAGTTTAAGGTAATCATGAGATGGAAGAGCTGGAGCCTCCGGGCCATAATCCTTTCACCGGAGGTTAACTTCCATGACGACCGCAATTCACTCTGCTCAGCTACAATTTTCTGCACAAAGAACACGACAATTTTGATTTACCTACGAAATTTTTTGTTCGCGCATTTTTTTTATCCACGTGTCATTTGGTCAACATTGTGATGTGTGTACAATGTACGATTGTGCATGATGTGGCAACTGTGCCTACCTATTATAATAACATACAACGTGGAAGTGAAGTGTCGTGACACTATTTTACTGCATCGTTGAAAGTTAAAAATTGATTGGGTAGGATTTATGTAGATACATAGCTAATTATAAGTGAGAATGCTAATTACAATTTAAGTAGATGAAAATTTGAGAGAAGAAAAGCCAATATTGTATATTTTCAAACACCCAGGCACCTACGTGCCTGTGGCAACAATCTGAAATTGTAATCAACGATGAAACTTAGTTTTGACTTTTGAGTTGTTGAGGTACTTATGGTGTTGCTGATTTTTATTGGTCAAACATAAATAAATATATAAATATATAAATAAATAAATAAATAGATAAATAAATAAATAAATAGATAAATAGATAAATAAATAAATAAATAAATAAATAAAAATGAATGATTATAAAATCATGCAAATATTTGTAGGTCAGAAAGATTAAAGAATGTGTGAAAACTATCTAGGTCAAAATGTGTAGATTAACTGCGTGTGGGTCTGATATTATAGATCAAATGTGTCTTAAGCCAAATGCGAGTGAGTGATTGTCGTGGCATCGCAAAATTTTTATAACTTAATGTCTGAAAAAAAAGATTGGTATAATTTACCATCCCTTCACGCTGTATTTCACACAGCGTGAAGGAATGGTAAATTCTACCAATCTTAAAGTTGATTCTGCCAGAGGAATGGTTACGTGTACCAGTAAGTATATAGTAATGTTTACCTTTTTTCTGGCAAAATTGACTCTAAATTGACGCTGTGTGAAATACAGCGTGGAGGAATGGTAAACTCTACCAATCTTCTTTTTCAGTGATGTCTTACACACCTATTCACAGCGTCCATGGACCTCGCAAAAATCTACTATCGTTGGAAAACTTGGGTTTTGACCTATTTTTTGGTTTTACATAGGTAATTTGTCTTCATTAGTCCGAACTTCAGTAAAATAGGATTTAGTATATTTCCTCTGTTGAATAGCATTAAGCCTCTTGCTGGCTTCATCTTAATGGTCTACGTAAAAGATAAATAATTTAAAACATGTCCTCTCTATTACAAATAGTGAGTGTGGCTACTCGTTTTCAGCCAAAATAAGTAAATCAATATGCATTCTACTCATATTACAACAGTATTCTATGGACAGCAAGGAATTAATTCTTCTCGTAAATATCCGCCCCCTTCCCCCTCCAATCTGCTGAAGCTGATGAGGAGACATATTATTATGATAAGATAATCACTTATTGTATTAGTAATTTTTTCTTTTCTTTTTCTTGTGACGATTGGTTTCTAAGGTATTGGAGATCGTAAATTCAAAACCTTTGCTAATATCGGATAGGTCTCACTTTATAGGGAATGACCAAAAACGAGTAGAGAGATTCTATACAGATATCATGAGCTTTTTTTACCCCTATCAGCCTCAACTCGCTGAGTATCAATTCAGCTAATATTAGTAGAGATTCAACCGATGTGAGGGGAGACCTAACTGATATTGAGCCTACCCTCGGCTACCTAGTGCGAATTTCCCTTGTGCATTGATTTTGTCATCCTCATTTGGGAAGGCGCTAGAGCGTGGATAGAAGGGAGTGCCCGAGTCAGTGCTCTCAGTTGGTGGGATGCGATTCCGCCGAGCACAACCGCGGCGGCGGCGCGCGGCGCTTCGAATGGCACTAACGCAACACTGCACAACACTATCGCGGGCGCGAGTTCAGCTTGAAGGACGCATCACGACTGGAGACGCGCGAATGCGAGTGGCTCGGTCCCTCGCGACTAGCGCAACTCGCACTCGGATTCTGCCTCCAGTACTTCGATTCTCGTATCCCGATCCCCGTTCCCCGTCGTTTTTTGGATCACTGTGTCAGTCCTGGGCGCAAGCGTGAGCTCCCGCCCCCGCTCACCAATCCCACCGATAAGCTACGGTGTTACCGAATAGAGCAGTGGCTCCAGAAGGGAATCTAAAGAAAATGTACCTGGTCCTGGTAGCGTCTGCCGGGAAAATTTTATCCGTCGTGCTCTCATTAGCACCAAAAGACTCCTAGACTTCGTTTGGATGACTAAAAATCTATATACCTACGTCACCTTCAAATATCATGCTGTCGAACGTGTTAACGAAGAAAGCCTCATGCCCAAATCTTCGAAATCGAGTCTTATAACCGAGTTCATGTTTCGAGTGTTCTTCAAATTCCGTATCATCTATGTAGAAGAAAGGGCCGCACTCATCGACACACTAATCGACGTTTCTACGGCTGATTTCCGACACAAGCGTTTCCCATCACTGTGGAAAATGGGGGATAAGAGGGATTTCCCTGAAATGATCCACCGCCTCAAATTAAGAATGGGAACATCAAATAATATAAAAAATGTGATTCCTTTTGCATTTAAGACTCCTTTCTTCGGTGGCCTGCGGCAGAGTTAAGAAGGACGTCGTATGAGTCCCGAGGCATTGCGAAACCTTAAATAAAAAACACATTTTTAGGAAAACTTTTGAACGAGTCCCGAGGCATTGCGAAACCTTAAATAAAAAACACATTTTTAGGAAAACTTTTGAATTTGTGTTGAGTACAGCGACTAGCTCTCTGACTTTGCTTGCCTCTCCGTTGTTCAGTTGGTAGGGCTGCTCTGTTGGCTAGGGAAATTTCGAGTTTGCCCTGAAGCATCACTCCAGAAGTTCCCCTGGCCAATCAGAGGATAGCGGATTTCTCGGCTGATCACTGGAGGGGGGAGCAACGTCAGGGGAGTGAAGGAAGAAAGAATTCGAGGTTTTTTGGTTCTGAGGAGCCCCAAGCTCTCATCGCTCGGTCATCATTTTTTTTTTTTTCATTTCTTTAGTTTTCTTTTTTGACTGGTTATGTCTCTACGGGATTGAGATTTTTTAAGCGCTTATCGTGTTCTCGCTTCTATAATTGTTGTGCATCGCGGTGGAATAAACTATTCATCTGGCAACGAAACGTTGATATTTTTTCTTTCCCATGTCAATACCTTAACAATATGTACTTGGCAGATCTTTTCATTGATGTGCCACATGACCCCTGTTGATCCAAAATCATGGGGGCCACCACCCCCCGAAAATTTTGGGGCGTTGGAGGGCCGTAAGTCGAAAATTTCAAATGGCAAGGGTACGTTTTGACTTCAGATTTGGATTCTACTCAACAAATTACGTAGATTAAATACAGCGCAAGGCCTATTCGCCCCCTTTTTCCTCCAAAAATACACGCCTTCTTACGGGGAATTGGGGTTCGGAAGTACCTAATTCGGAGCAAATAGGCCATACGTCATATCAATTCTACGTAACATTTTGCATAGGATCCAAATATGAAATCAAAAAATACCCTTGCCATTTGAACTTTTGGACTTCCGGCCCTCTAAAGCCCCAAAATTGTCGGTAGGTCGTGGCCCCCATAGTTATGGATCAACAAGGTTCATGTGGCACATCAATAAAAAGGTATTGACCTCTTCTCCCAGGTGGAAAGATTTTGAAAATCGGATAATTTTAACGCTTACAGTGTATTTGCCCAAAATGCCCCGTAACTCCAAAATATGGGAATTTATGAAAAAGTGCATACCTACAACAAAAAATTCTTATTTTAGGACACAGAATTTAAATCCGAAGTCAAAACGTGCCCTTCCTATTTGAATTATGTGAGAAACGGGGACACTCCTAGAGTGCGTCAAAAAAGATGAAAGTCCGAAATGTTCCGCTCCCCAGGCGGCAATCGATGCCACTTGGTAAAAAAACATGTTTGCCAAAATTTGGGCCAATTTCAACCATTTTAAATGGTGCCAAAGGTCAATTTGAAGCGTGACGAGACTCTGAACAACATAATATACCAAAAGAAGCTAAAAAAGAGAAACGCGTGGGGTAGGCCATCGCGTGCACAATGCCTACCCCCAAGAGCTCACAAGAGAAGAAAACGAAGTTTGGTATGGCTTCGTGGCTAGCAGACCACCACAACTCACATGACGAAGAAACAACAAAAACTACCACCCCCAAAAGGGGTAGCTTTAACCAAAAGTACTCACATTTGGGTTAGCAAAAGCGGAACGCGACGCGAAGAAGAGAGAAAACCGGTGCGAACGAACTCGAATGACTCGTTGTAGTTCCGACTCCCTCCGCCAGGGTATTGGCTGAGGTAGTCGGAACTGCCAACCTGTTACTTTGAATATAGGGCGGGAAACCAGGGTTGCGATACGCAAAACGTCACAACTTTTGTGATGAAATTCTGATATTTACTTAGGTAAGGGTAGACCCCGATTCCGCAGGTACGAAAAATTCGATTTTACGGCGCTGAAATCGTGCGTTTACGAGAAAAATGCCAAAGAGCTCATGTTTTAGAGGATGAAATTGTATTCCAGAAGAACGTCTTTGTAAACGATAAAAATCAAATTGAATTAGGGGAACTCACCTCGGTATTTATTTTTGTGGTCCTCAGAATTTCTGAGGTCTTACAAAGTAGGTAGCGGTATAAAAGACTTATTTTTCACAAAAATAAGTCGAAAAAGGGTAAAATTGAACCATAAGCAAGTGCTGAGGATGCAAATGTCATCAGAACTCTCTCAGTTTCAAAAAAAGGCCCAACTTTTTTGCACAATCCTCCAAAAAGTGTACGGCACGAAAAGCAGGATACCTAGTGCTATAACAGTAAGGGGTAGGTGCGGTTTGACCCGGAGTAGGTAAATTGCGTAAGAAACTTTCCCTATGTAATCGTCATCAGTTGGTCCTCCTGAAGAACCTCCTGAAAGTTGAACATGATCCGACCCTGGAACAGCCCTCAAAGTACCTAAAATTCAAAATGGTGGCCGTAATAAGGGGGTCGGGAAATCGGTATTTTAAAATGTTCATTGTGTCATGTGAGGTATCATTTTCTACGTAATTTTGGTCGTAAATTACATAAATGAACTCAACAAAGCCACCCGGTCAAAGAGGACGCTCCAAATAAAAGATGGCGGCCAAATGTGAGAGGCAGAAGGTCGCATCTTTTTAAATATTCTGGACCTTTTTTGAAACTGAGGGAGTTCTGATGACATTTGCATCCTCAGCACTTGCTTATGGTTCAATTTTACCCTTTTTCGACTTATTTTTGTGAAAAATAAGTCTTTTATACCGCTACCTACTTTGTAAGACCTCAGAAATTCTGAGGACCACAAAAATAAATACCGAGGTGAGTTCCCCTAATTCAATTTGATTTTTATCGTTTACAAAGACGTTCTTCTGGAATACGATTTCATCCTCAGTAGGGTAAAAATAGCGACTTTAGCGCAAAAGTTTTTAGCCAAATTGTGCAGAAAAATATGAATTAAATTACAGCGTTGTATAGGGATTATTGTTCAATATGGCAACGGTGTAAAAAGAAAGTATTGCATGTTGCCCCTTCAATATGCGGGTTATGCAATCGTGTATGAATGCCCCTTCATTTTTCGGGTTATGCAATGGTGTATTTTTCAAGATGGCGCANACTATCCTCTAAAACATGAGCTCTTCGGCATTTTTCTCGTAAACGCCCGATTTCAGCGCCGTAAGATCGAGTTTTTCCTACAGAATCGGGGTCTAAACCTAAATATCAGAATTTCATCATAAAATTGACCATTGGCACCATTTAAAATGGTTGTATTGGCCCAAATTTTGGCAAACATGTTTTTTTACCAAGTGGCATCGATTGCCACCTGGGGAGCGGAACATTTCGGACTTTAACGAATTTTTGACGCACCCTAGGCAACCCCCGTAAAACTCTCCTGAAATGTGTTTTTGGGCGGCTGAAAACCTTTTCATTGAATTCCTTGGGGTTGAAATACCCCTGAAATTTTTCGTACCGAAGCTCAATCATCGGCCGTTTCCGAGAAATAGATACTTACCTAGTGGACGGGTGCTCTGGAACACCCGGTATACACTCACGTACATACACACCATCAAACATGGATTTGAATGGCATATATTTTCGTGATCTACGACCCGTGATCGGTGCTCCTCACAAGGTCTCAGGTCTGGGTGCGACATCATGCATCATGGTGTGGGTGTCAGAATGCAATAGTGTAATTCCATCCAGAAAATACTTGCGCTGCAAACTTCACAAATAACATGAAACTTCTAACAAAAATAAACACCCATGTAATTTTTCATCAGTGTAAGTACGTCACCTTCATCGCAGTCTCATTCTGGACACACTTACTGCCGCCGGGGACTCAATTCGATTCGTCACGAAAATTAGAAGCATCTCGTACCTGAACCCCGTACAGTAAAAGTGTATGTATGGTGACTGGCAACTTGGAGCGAAGTTCGCAGAAATAAGAGCAAGGGTCAAAGCAACTTCTAACAAACATCTGCACGTTTGTTGGCAATGTTTTAAGAGATCCTCAATACGATAAAAGTTATTTGCAGACCTGTGCGGCGGAACTGCCACATCCAAGGGAGTGGGACATCCATAGATCCAAAAACTAGGTGTCTCAGCGCACGTTACATGTGTTCCGCCCCTAACAATAAAATGCTCATTCCGCTTCTGGTAGTAGTCGTTTGGATTCCACCCGGTATGTCTCTCACCGATCAACTTCGTGCCTTTGGGGCTAACGTTACCAATGTTTTGGACAATATGTTGTCACCAGCCAGCTATAATAAAAATATTCGGCCCAACATCAAAGGTAGGTGTTTAATTAACGTAGGATTTAACTTGTTTTAATGTCACGTGTTTCTGATTGCCTAATGTCTCTCTGACTAGCAACTATTACCAATGCGATATGCTTTTGAAATTAGTATGGATTTTAAAATAAAATATGAAAATTGAATTCAGTCAAGTATGTAAAGAAGAAATGTGGATTATCTTTTACTATCCTACTGTGATTCGGCACCATATTGAAGAAATTTTACCAGCAATGAGTTCAGAAAAATTGTCAACTTTTTAGGCCTTTGAGCGACCTAAATAATCGGATTTTGGGGTGAAACATTTTTTAGTACTTACTTACGTTTGTCATCAAATGAAGCCGGCTAAAGATATGTTGTTAAAATCATAAAAACTTAACCCTAAAAAAAAACCCCACATCACGGTAGTTAAGTAGGTACATCCGATATCCAACTAATAGTTGCAGTGAATGATGCGTGGTGTTAAGTTTTATCCAAAAAGTTGGCCCCTTTCTGTCGAATTTAGTTTAATTATCTATCAGGAATGTATAAATAATGATTTATTCAAAAAGAATCTCCAAGTCTGTAGAATGGGTTTAGAATCTTTATTTTAATCATTCGAGGGATTCAAACTTAACTAATACCTACTTACCTTTCAGGCAATCCTGTGACCATCTCGGTAAATATGTACATCAAAAGTATTGGAGCTATTTCTGATAATGATGAGGTGAGTCGGCATTATTTTGCGTACCTATTCTTTCCATTCTTTTTTGTATTTTCATTTTTTTCTCTGTATTACCAATAGGGGGTCTGTCGCGGCCCCTGACAGCTTCGCAGCCCAACCTCCGTGTTTTATTCTTTTCTCACTTTGTGATGGACACGACAATTTTTCTCTTTGATAGGTACATTGTTAGTACCTATGATTTTCGATTAAAAATTTTAAAGCTCTTTGGCTTGTTGGAAAAAATATATACAGCCCAAAAGATAGTATATTTTTTATGAAATCTCTAAACTTGAATTTCAATTTGAATCACTGGCGATTCCGTGAGGAAAACTTAATTATTTTTACGCGATAAGTAACTCTCTCAAAGTGATTCGTTATGCCTGCGCAGGAATTCACGATGGATCTTTATTTTCGTCAGTCTTGGCTCGATTCTCGCCTTAAATTTCGACTTCACGGCGTTGAAGAGATATCAATGTCTTGGCTCTTCGTTGACAAAGTGTGGAAACCAGATACGTTTTTCATGAACGGAAAGAAATCCAGCTTGCACAAGATCACCTCTCCCAATAAATTCGTCCGGCTTCGAAAAAATGGCTACCTAACTCTTTCAATGAGGTACGAAATTTATTGTCCGAGAAATCTGCATGTTCCGATCGTAGGATCCTCACAGTAAGTAATGCTCAGAATAAAATGAAAAGTATTGCCTACGTAGGAGCACTAGCTACCCGTTAAGCCTATAGAGATCTCCAACCGAGAATGGTATGTAGCCGCTACTGTATCTTACACGAATCCGTTCAACTTTTTTAATACCTACACTGAAAAAAAAGATTGGTAGAATTTACCATTCCTTCACGCTGTATTTCAAACAACATCCATTCAGATAGTCAATTCTGCCAGAAGAAAGGCAAACGTTACTATTATACGGGTACAGGTAGGTAACCATTCCTCTGACAAAATCGACTTGAAGATTGGTAGAATTCAACATTCCTTCACGCTGTATGAAATACCAGCGTGAAGAAATGGTCAATTCTACCAATCTTTTTTTTTTCAGTGCAGATACCTTCATAAGCTTGAATTTCGCATTCCTTAATTTACTCCAATCATTGATGATAGATTAATAAGATTGATAATCCATTCGGAAGTGGTTATTTTTAGGTCCCGTATGACCGTTTGTGGTACAAGTTTGCGGCATGGCTTGATCTTTACGTAGGTATTAATGTCAAGGTAGATTTTTACAGGTATGGCATAAGTTGAAAAGAGGTTGTTCTATCCCCCATTAGATTTGGCCCCCTATCAAATATGATCCATCTTTTCAGGAATGATATAGTAGCATGCGAGACGTTCAAATATGGCGGTCATTTTGACTTACGCCCCCCCCCCCCCCCCCNGAGGGCGGGGGGTTAAAGACAAAACCTTCAACTGCCTATAACTTTTGAGCGAATAATCGGATTGAGTTGAACTTTTTTTTAAATGAAAGATCTCAAAAAGATCTATCTACTGATACCAGAAAAATTGAAAAAAAGGTAAAGTTAATGCAAATTTTTAGCAATTTTTCAATTTTTTAGGGGACAAAATTTTCAATTTGGTCGTGTTTCGGCACCGCGCAATGACTCTACTAAAACAAAAACCAGTTTTTTAGATTCTACACTCAATTTCCCATAAGATGGAAAAAACTGCATCCTGGGGAAACGTTTAGATCGCGAGCTATGGCTCGTCAAAGTAAGCCCCGCGCTGAGTGCGCGCCCCTTGCGCTGTTCGCATATCCTCTACGCATCTGCCACCGATCCTGTTGCCCCTCCTCCCCCTTCCTAAATGCAAATTAACCTTCTACTACCCAGCTTTCGTATATATCTGCGTTATAGGTACGTGAAAATTTCAGCAAGTTCGTGATTTCCAGTGGAATTGATGCTTTATTTCGCCCCCCCCCCCAACCCGGCCACTGTGCGATATATGCGAAATATTGTGCGAAAAAGAAATATATAAATTTTCTTGTTACATGTTTTTGCTGATGTAGCACCCTGTGACTACGAGATGGAATTGAGGTAATTTTTTATCCCACCTCCCAACCTCCTTGTGTAACTGCTTTCAATTCACTTAATAAATTACTTTTTCTATACCTATTCTGTTCATTTTAGCGTGTGATCTAGAAAACAAATACCTCCAGTTAGACACAAGAAAATACTATTACAACTTGTAGGCAGGGGCACACTTCAGAGCCAGTGGCCAGGTTGGGGGGGGGGGGAAATAAAGCATCAATTCTACTGGAAATCACGAACTTTCTGACATTTTCACGTACCTATAACGCAGATATATACGAAAGCTGGGTAGTAGAAGGTTAATTTGCATTTAGGAAGGGGGAGGAGGGGCAACAGGATCGGTGGCAGATGCGTAGAGGATATGCGAGCAGCGCAAGGGGCGCGCACTCAGCGCGGGGCTAACTTTGACGAGCCATAGCTCGCGATCTAAACGTTTCCCCAGGATGCGGTTTTTTGCATCTTATGGGAAATTGAGTGTAGAATCTAAAAAACTGGTTTTTGTTTTAGTAGAGTCATTGCGCGGTGCCGAAACACGACCAAATTGAAAATTTTGTCCCCTAAAAAATTGAAAAATTGCTAAAAATTTGCATTAAATTTACCTTTTTTCAATTTTTCTGGTATCAGTAGATAGATCTTTTTGAGATCTTTCATTTAAAAAAAAGTTCAACTCAATCCGATTATTCGCTCAAAAGTTATAGGCAGTTGAAGGTTTTGTCTTTAACCCCCCGCCCTCCCTCTCTGGGGGGGCGTAAGTCAAAATGACCGCCATATTTGAACGTCTCGCATGCTACTGTATCACTCCTGAAAAGATGGATCATATTTGATAGGGGGCCAAATCTGATGGGGGATGGAACAACCTCTTTCCCATCAGCCTGTGCGCGAGTCACATGACCCGTAACCAAAGGCATAAAGACGGAATGCTCGTATCTAAAAGCACGGGGAAAAAGTGAAGCCTGGTTTAGCGCTGGGTGCTTGTGTGAGTGTGTAAATGAGTGCGGGAATTAATGGCGGCAAACGGAAATTTGATTTGAGCTTGTCCTCTTGAGTTTCCACATTTCTTCTTCTAAACGTGTTTTAAATGCCTACAACGAATATATTAAGGAAGCTGGGACATTGAATTTTTGTAACCTACTTTTGCTCGGTGACAGGCAGTAATCTCAGATAAAGTTAGTTTTTCTCCTACTCATGGTGGTCCTGCCGGTTCAAACAGGCCGTCACAGTCCTAAATGACCGTTACTCCCAAATGAAATTAATTGGTCTATAACGGACCTGAAATAACCTAAAGCCAACAAAATATATGTGGGTAAGTGAATTTGAGAAAAAATCAACCCAGAATACTTTGTTTACGCAATTTTATTCAGTTCCCGCCCTACATTTGAATTTCAAACTTGTCCCGATTTTGCCGCCAATCCTCTAGCCAATAGTAGAAGTGGTTGAAAAGAAGCTTCATTTTTTGCTTTTAGCGCTCCGTCTTTATGTCTTTGCCCGTAACGTAAACAAAGGGGCCCGTTTGATCGCGCGATTATCAACTTCATTGAATGTATTGCTCTATTTAAACATCATAACATTAATTAGCTTGTATTGACAATGATAGGTAATAAGATCCTCAGGAACAATTAACTTAACTACAGAAAATTAATAACGAATTATTACAAAATTGGACGAACGAACCAAACATAATCAATAAATCACAATGATAAAAACATACATAATGGCGGTCGTCAACGGGCTTAACTGAACCAACTATGCCTCCCCACGCTCTTAGGACGTGATCGGAGAAAAGAAATTTCATCGAATGAAATTTCATGAAATTTCTTTTCTCCCAATGAAATTTCTCCCGACCGACAAAATGTCAAAAATGCTTATTTTTTCTAACAGAATTTGTTTTTATTTTTAAAGAGAATAATATTCGTCAATTAGACCAATTGGAGCGCGGTCTTCTCTCAGCTCTTCTCTTCTGGTCTTCTCTTACTCTTTCTCTTTTGGCAGTTCTGGCTCATCAAGGGGAGGGGGACCGGGCACCCTAACCTCAAATTTTTTTTTTTTTTTTTTTTTTTTTTTTTTTTTTTTTTTTTTTTTTTTTTTNTGGTAGACATCCATGCTCGGGCTTACAAATTTTCACGGATTAAGGCCGAGCGAATTCTGCTTACAGATCCACTCGTCAGTTCCATGAAAATTTGTCGCCACCACCGGGATTCGAACCCGGGACCTATTGACCTAGAGTCAGACGCGCTAACCACTAGGCCAACCTGGCCGGCAACCTCAAATTTCAAACTGTTAATTTCTGAAAAAAATCATTTAAATTGTTTCAATGATGGTTCAAGATCCCTCCCTCCCTTTTGTACCAAAAAAGAAGGATATACTATTAGGGGGTACTAGGATTCTTTATAGTCAAGAAATTTGTTTTGCTCCAAATATGAAAGCTAACGTCTTACTTTATCCGTAAAATTTATTTTGGTGTTCAACCGGTACGGCTGTGTGTTCAACCAAAATTTAAAAAAAAAATTCAAAATTATGTTTTTGCTGTTTTACTCAACTTTCTGGGCATTTCTAAAGTTCCCTTTCACAGTTTACCACGTGCAAATAAATGAGCTTAAGGAGATTCATAAGTTTCAAGGGTTTAATCCTGAATTCTGCGTGTTAAATGAAATTTCATTATGAAATTTCCTTTTATAATCTTTCATGAAATTTCTTAACTATGCTTCTTGGGCTTTGGCCGCTTCCGGTCGCCCAATCTACGAATAAATAAAAGAGACTTTTTTTTTACTTTTAAAGGTAGTATTGTAAACCGTTTAAATGCGTACCTAATTAGCATTAGTTTAGCTTTTCTCCTAAACAGTTATATTAAAAGAAAAAAGAATTAAGAAGAATTTTCTGAAGTCTAACAGTGTTAATTGTACAACTTTCTTGTGTGCAAATAAAAAAAAGAAAAGAAAAAAAAAACTTATCAAAAATGTAAAAGCACGTATAAAAACTTTGATTTCGCATTACATTTTCTTAAAAACAAAGTCTTATTCCTTAAAAACGCGTGTTTACAAAGCGCTATCGGCCCTATTGATCAATCTTTCAAATGCATAGGTTGGCAGCGGCACTTTTCTTGTGATTTTCATTATCCACGTTGTCGCCCTTTTGGGCTAAGAGCCACATAAATCGAGTTGTTTATACTCTCCCTACACTCTATCCTCTGACATCGATCTTTCCAAAATTTCTTGGAGATCTGGAAGATTGGAAAAGAGAAGGGCTTAAGTGGACTGTATTTTGCAATTTGGACCTATAAATTCCGGCCCGGTTTTATAAAACAACGTATGTGCCATTAGTTTCCCTATGCACATAAGTGTTTTTTCAGATGAGCGAGAATTTATAGGTGCAAATTGCAAAATGCAGTCCAAGTGTGAGTAGTCGACAGACGTAGAGTCCCTTTACAGAGAGAGAGTCCAGACAACGCGGCTCATGGATGTCACAAACGGGAATAAATATTACACAAATTGAACGTTTTTCGAAATCTTTGATCAACTCATTCCCAAATTCCTGTCTCCGTTGCTTCTCTCAATCTCTCCTTCCTTCTCTCCGTTTGTTCCATGCCGTGCCCCCAATTCCCCGGTCCATTCCAGTTTATAATCTTTGCCATCGGTGAAAATCAGTGGCGTGCGGTGGGTTCAGTGACAGGGCAAGCTCTAGCGTTCGCCATCCGGGGGGGGGGGGGGGGGGGGGGGGGGGGTTAACGTAGCCTCTTTCCCTTCCCCCTCCCCCTAGCCTCCCTAGAAAATTCTTAAAATTTTACTCTATTTGCTCTATTTTTCGGATGAAATCTGATGGAACGTAACGTCTTGAAAAACTGTATTTTTATTTTTTTCTCTCTTATTTATGATTTCGTTTACTCAACTTGTTTCGAATGTTATGGAACATTGGAGGACGGCTTCTTACTCATAACTCCTAATTTTGCCACTTATTTGAGGTATTATAGTTTTTATTCTACAGCATTTAGAATTTTTTGAGTTACTTAAATTTCCCAAAAAAAGAGGCTTTCTGCATTTAAAACCATTCAAGTGAGCGAAATTTTATAGAATATAAAGGAATTTGCTCCTTTGAAAATGTAATGTTCATTTCCATTTGTGACACTGTGGAGGCCTAAAATACGAAGACCAATCAGAAATGGATACGTATACCTGGTCTTTACTCTCAGTATAAAAGGGACTCTAGACAGACGAAGCCAGATGGAGGTGTAGAAAGGGCGCAAAAAGTAATTTTTGCAGGCTCATGGCATAGTAGAGAGACACGTTGACTCTTTGGTTTCGAGGGGATGCAAATTTACAAAAATTGGACCGAACTTCGAGCTGGATTCATTTCATTCTATAATATATGGAAGTCATACCGTACTATACGGCTACTAAAGTCTGAAAAAATAACCTCCAGTTGTAAAATACCTAACTCGTTTTGTTTCCAATGGACGTATTCGATTTCTCAATCGTGGTATTTTCTTTTTATTATTTGTTTTCTTTTGCACAGGTTGACCGTCTCTGCATCATGCAAAATGCATCTTCGAAAATTTCCGCTCGACACACAAAACTGTTCCCTCCTAATCGGAAGTTGTAAGTTGCCATACCTACTTTCGTTCTGATTGTGAGAAATCGTCAGAAGATCGTACAGTTGCAAGAGATCAAATAGCGGAAACCGCCATTCGACTGATATTTAGTGACTACGCCATTCGATATAATATCGAGCTCTTAGTTCAAATCAAAACAGACTAACATACCTATTAACCTCATGTGCGAATTCGTCATGAGGTAATTGCGTATATTTATTAAAATTTAGTTGTTGATCGGTCATAAATCAACTAAAGACTCATTAAACACGCAAAATTTCGATTGTAAGAAGCACTTGAAGGTAGAGTACCTATATTGAGAGAGTATGGCCACTGGGCCCCATGGAGAGGCTTAGGACCCAAAAATGGCGGTACTTTGTTTTGGTTTTTGTGGATGGGAGGGGGGTCATTGCCAACTTTTGACGGTTATCACCAACCGCACTTGCTGCCAACCTTACTACATCTAAGATAATTTTTCTCAAAAATTGCACACGATTAGCCTTAAAAATATGTAAAGATGTCGCAATAGTGCATTTGAGTAAATTTCTCGTTACGATAAGCAAAGAAAACTACATTTTGAGTCATTTTGCATTACATTAATTAATGGCGTCCGCCATTTTTGGGTCCTAAGGGCTCCATTTAGCCTAAGATGGCTTAGCCAATCAGAGGTGGTAACCCCAGTGGCCATACTCTCTCAATATAGGTACTCTACTTGAAGGCATTTAATCACCATGTCGTAAGGGGCGCGTATCAGAAACAAAGCTCTGTGTTTGTTCACAATTGAACCAAGGGTTGGATAGGCTGCGTTGCTAAAGTCGCCGGAGAGCTCTCCGGAGTTACCCGGAGACGTAAACAACCGTTGTTCTGACTCCGGAGGCATTACCCGGAGACTTGCTACGTCATGCTACGTCAGTCTCCAAACTGCTCTCCACCTCTCCGACCTCTCGAGGTCGGAGAGATACGTAGACTGACGTAAGCATAGGCGTTTAGCATTCTCGCGCGTTTTTTTCTGCTCATACAATGAGTTTTAGAATTTTCAAATATTTAAAGATGAAAGTGTTTGTGGATTTCATTTTTAACTTTGGGAATATAGAAACTTAACCTAAAATTGAAGTGTAAACCAAACAGAATCCGGCGGACCTTGTCTCTGGGCGGACCCAAGGACGCGGAGAGACTGGAGAGATGACGTCAACCCTTCCGGGTAATTCTCCGAGACTCTACGCTCCCAGTCCTCCGGAGAGCTCTCCGGCGACTTTAGCAACGCAGCTATATTATATCGAATGACATTACGTAACCACTAAATCAGACTAAGTATTAACAATTGACATCCTAAATGCATGCCGTCATGCAACGCTGATGTTCCCAAGTAGCAGTGATCGCGATAAATAGCGATTTTATCGCTTGGTTATCGCGATTATATCGGTGGCAATATATAGAGATATTATCGCATTAAAAATCGCGATATATGGCAATTAAATCGATACAAATCGCAATTTTTGGTTCAATAAAAAACTACAAAAACCCTCAAAAACATTTTCGGGCAAAAAATCCGGTCGAGGAAATTGACGTGTTACATCTTATTAACCAAAAAAATTCCCTTTCACCCCTCCAAGAAGGTTGATAAAACTAAGTAAGTAACTATGAGCTAAAAAGCTCTCTTAAATTTTCAGGGTCCATCAAGGCCACATATGTCCAAAAACTTACTCTATATGGTTTAAAAAAAAAA